TTGAGCTGATATAGTTGCAAGTTTTGCAACTGTCTCCAGTGTCCTATGGGTCAATCAGAAGTGAAAAAACACCCAGATATTTCATAGGTTTACTTAGAGTAAGGTGAATTAAAACCAAAACATAATAAATAAATGGACTGCTCTTCTGAGCAGTCTTTCATATGTATTCTGGAATTAGTTTTCGTTCTCAGAACATTACTGCAAAGGGCAGATATGCGCTGAGTTGTTCTTACACAGATAAGCTCTAAATAGTATTTTAAACAGAATATTTTCCAGCATTAACACATATACTAGAAACTGAAATGTTTTAGATTTGCTTGGATTAAAAACAAATAAAAAATTGCAAGTTGAGCTCTGAAAAATGTTGGGCAAAAATACCTTTTGGAACTCTTGCTACAAATCAGAGTAAAGTTGGTGTCCTTATGTAATATTTTATTTGTGTGATAATGTGCTTTTCTAAGGTATGATCTGTGCTTCTAGCAGTTAGGAAAATGAACACTGACGCTAGGACATGAGTACCTTATCTCTTCCTTCTCTCAGCCATGGCTTTTGTCTTTTGCTTGATTTTTCATAAAATGTGCACTGGAGACAAATGCTTGTATTTGTCAGGGTTAACTTCCTATGGCATTTAGGAGCGCAGAAGCAATATTCACAACTATAGCTGAGAAGCTCTTAATCGAACTTACTTGCTCATGTTTGGAATTAGGAACAGAACAGGAACAGTAGGAAGAAATGTGTGGAAGTGAAGGAGGAAGGATTGGTATTTGATTTAAAAAACAAAACAAAACTGCTCTGAGCAGACTATTTCTTCCTGAGCAACCCTAGTTCTTTGGCAGAGAATTTTTCCTGTCTGCAGCATGAAAATGCTTTGCCCATCTTGTCATTATCCATTATAATCTTTGCTTGTTTCAAGGACTACTACGTGGTAGACGGCCACTGCTTAGTACAGTGAGCTCTCTTGCCTTAAGCATTCATACGCAGCAGCTATAGAGGAATTGGAGAAACGGCGCTCCCTGGAATACTGTGTTTTGTATGGTTCATCGAGAAATACTTAACATGGAAAGAGTATTTTAACAGCCATGTGTTCTTACAGGCATTTGGATAATGCCCTCGTTACTATGCTTTAACTTTTGGTTAGCCCTGAAGCGGTCAGGCAGTTGGACAAGATGATCCCTGAAGGTCCCTTCCAGCTGAACTATTCTGTTTTCCTTGCACAGTCAGTATTTGTGATGTGCTTTTTTGACGCAAAATACCCCACAAAACTGCGAGGCTTTGCATTGCTTTAGAAAAGAAGATTAATACTGATTAGGAGAGTGATATTAATTTGAGATGAGAAGAACAAATTTAGCTACCAGGTGAAAAAGTGAAGGCTACATAATCCCTGGTTAGAGGAACTAAATGGACTGACTGCTAGGACTGTTTGCACTTAAATTTTTTTTGATAAACATAAGCAAGATAAAAGAGATCAAACTGTCTCCAGATCTGCTCATGAGGCTTCCACTAACTTGTCAAAAAGTAGAAACTGCCTCTGTATGATGAAAATTTACATAAACTTACTCTTAATGCTGCAGATGTACTGATATCTGGAGAGGGAACTGGTTGAGATGTCCTGCAAAATGCTAAAGGATTGTTGGTCAAAAGTTCAAGTATTCTTAACTAGTGAATACAAATTTCATTATTATAATAATGCTTCTAGAAAATACTTGCAGCAGAAAGTGCTTGAAGCCAATGTTTGAGGGATAGAGCTTGTGAAGGCTGGAGTAACTTGAAGAATCTGTGGGTTTCTCTGGGTCATGCTCTCATACTCTGGGTCATACTCTTGTTTTAAGGCAAGGTAGCTATAAAGCCTCAATTCCTTCACCACCCACAATTTATTTGAAACAAGTGTTACGTATTTAAGTTGGAAGCTGATGTTCAGTGGAGGTGTTTGGGAAATCTTTTTTTTTTTTTTTGTTAGAAAACTGTGTCAGTGCAGATGAATAATTGACAAATCATAAAATTCGGTTCTTGTAAACATCTGAATTTCACTTTCGGAAAAGGCTTTGACTATTTCTATGAGATATTGTCAATTTAAGTAAATGCAGAAACGTGAGCAAGGCAAAAATAAACCAACTATTTGACTCTGAAACTTCTGTTATTGTGGGGATTTTTTTTGCAAGGCAAAAATAAACCAACTATTGGACTCTGAAACTTCTGTTATTGTGGGGATTTTTTTTTCTTGCCTGGCAATTTGTAAAAGCACTGCTGCTACATTAAAAGTACTCTGAGTTTGTGAAGGGAGGTATCTGTGGGGGAGGGGAACGTGGATTTTAAGCTTTCTATTTATATTAAGAGCTATGACATGGTAGTGGAATATGGAACTGGCTGATGACGCTTCTGTACAGGAAACATACTGATAAGAATGTAAAATACAAGGGGAAAAAACAGGTGAAGCAAGCTGGCTCTTTAAGCCCTTCCACTCCAGAACAAAATTAAATTACTAATTCTGCTCAGGGAAGAAAGCTGGAATTAAGTTTGGATTATTCAACATCTGTTTAGTATATCTCTTATCACTTGGCTGGATGATATACGGATTCATTAAGCTAAGAGAAGAAAGTGGTTGAAGTAGAAAAGGTAAAACACTGAGGTCTGTTGAAGCAGACTTGTTCCTACTTCAGTTCTGCTTGCATTACATCTTGTTTAGAAGCTGAGTGGGAGATCTGTGTTTCAGCTTTAATTTGCATGAAACTTAGTAGTTACTTCAGCCTTTCCACTTTTCACTGGTGTGAATGTATATTTTATATATATAAATATTTGTGGGGTGTGGGTGGTGCATTATAAATTAATGTGCTACACAGCTGAGCTCCACCACAGCTACTCTCTCAGTCCTGCTCCTCAAAGGAAAAAAGCAGAGAAAATGTGATGGGAAGGGCTCAAAGGTTGAGATAAGGACAGGGAGATCATTCAACAATTATCATGGACGAAACAGACTCAGCGTAGGGAGATTAATATAATTTATCGTCTACCGCTACTGGACTAGAGCAGTGAGAAAATAAAAGCAACCTAAAAAACACCTTCCCCCCCATCCATCCTCTTCTGCCTCCTCCCTTGAGAGGCACAGAGGAACAGGGAATGGGGCTGCGGTCAGTTCCTGACGCTTGGTTTCTGCCCCTGCTCCCCGTGGGGTCCCTCCCAAGGGATGCTGTCCTTCCCCAACTGAGCCTTGCAGGGGCTGCCCACAGGCAGCAGCTCTCCAAGCACTGCTCCCACACGGCTCCTTGCCATGGGGTCCGTCCATCCCCCAGGAGCAAACTGCTCCAGCATGGGTCCCCCACAGGTGGGGGCAGCTCCCCCCAGACCCCTGCTCCTGCGTGGGATCCTCTCCATGGGCTGCAGCTCTGGCCCGGGGCCTGCTCCTGCGGGGGCTCTCCATGGGCCGCAGCCTCCTCCAGGCCACATCCACCTGCTCCACCGGGGGCTCCTCCACCCATGGGGGGGCTGCAGCGTGGAGATCTGCTCCATGTGGGACCCATGGGCTGCAGGGGGACAGCCTGCTCTACGAGGGGCCTCTCCATGGGCCACAGGGGAACTGCTGCTGTGTGCCTGGAGCACATCCTGCCCTCCTGCTGCACCGGCTTTGGGGTCTGCAGGGCTGGCTCTCACTCATCTCTTCCAGCTGCTGTTTTGCAACAAGTTTTATTCCCTATCTCAAATCTGTTTTCAGAGTCACAACCAGCATCACTATTGGCTTGGCTCTGGCCAGCAGCAGGTCCTCTTTTGGAGCTGGCCCTTACTTGCCCTGGGGCAGCTGCAGGACCCTTGTCACAGAGGCCACCCCTGCAGTCAGTCCCCCTGTTACCAAGACCTTGCCATGTAAACCGAATACAATTATGTACTGCATATATTGTTATATATATACTTTTTAAAAGGTTATTTATATTCACTTTTGCTGTGATCAACAACTTCTCAGTAAACAGAAAGCTTGAAGAATGGGTGGGAATAGTAATGTTTTATTAATTTCTACTGTGTACTGAGAGAACAAATTGTACATTATTTTCCCTGATTTGCATATGTCTTCTATTCTCCTGTTTTAAACAGGCATATTGGGAAGGTGTTCAGCTCTTTGGCAAATTATTCTCTGTGAACTCTGTACTGTAATGATGGTATACCGACTGTTTCACGTAATTCATTTGGACTTGTGTTATTTCTGTTCCTTCTCCTAGAGGCTGGAAAATTTCCTTAATTTCATGACAGAAGAAAGAGGATATCCAAACTGGAAATACAGAGTCTTTGCAACTAATAAATTAATCTAGTTTCTAGATAAGGAAGAATCTATGTTGTTACCCTTCAATTTGATATTCATTATAAAAGTAGAGGACTGATTTATGTGTAGGAGTGAAAATGAGCACACTTTTGTTATCTCATAGTTGGTATGAATCCAGGAAATCTTGATACAGAGATCCTGGAAATTTACATTTATACATAATTTACCATTGACTCCTCCATATTTTGGCTACTGATCTTTTTATCTCTGTCATAGCACATTTTCTTTTAATATGCCTTGCATTATTCAGCTCTTCTTTCATCTGTAAGTAGCATCTAAAAATGAGAGAAAGCTCCTTTAGCACTTAAAAAAAAAAAAAAATCATTTGATTGTGATGTTTATTTAAATTAACTTTCTTTTATACTAGTCCTGATATTTAACACTACTAAAATAACTGCTTCATCATCCTCCGTTGTGTTCTCGTTGACAAGGGATCCTTTAAATAAATGTGGTAAGTTTAGCAGTTATACATAATTTTCCTATTTCATGGGGATAAATAAAATGGGCCTTTCAACTGTTATTACTCTGTTTATGATTTTTTTCAGTGATCGTTAAGGTCTATGTGGTTAAATATTTTGAGTGCACTATCTAGAAGCAGGATGTTAGTCTGTTTGAACATGATGTTAGTGATGTTGATAACGTTTTTCTTTTTCCTACATTGCATACAACAATTATTCCTTAACAGTACCAATTTCAGCTTTGGTCGGCCAGGAGTGGAATGTTACTGCCAGCATGACAGTGGAGCTGCAGTAATCCAGCTTCAGTTTCTGATTAACGAGGTTAGTAAAATGGTGTTTATATTCCATAATTTTGAGAAGATACAAAGTATGTTTTCTTCAACTTCTCATTAAGAAAACATCAAAATACAAATACTATTCACACTTAGAATCATTTTTGTTAAACAGTGATAACAATTAAGGTACCTTTATTTAATCACATAAATTGCTAGACTAACTGCTGAAACTGGCTGTCTCTGGAGTGCTCCTGCTATAGGCAAGAACTGTTTTGCTAGGAAAATTTATTCGTGTCATTGAATGTTGCATGTTATCCCTTACAGTAGTAAAGTATTCTTTTAATAGTGCCAACAGTTTCAGTGGGTTGTTAATTTTATTTTGATTGCTACTGTTTTAGATGTGAGTTGGGCAAAGATCCCTAATCTAATCCCTCGGTAATTTCAGATGTGTTTTTTCTAGAAATATTGCAGCTGAGACCCGACAGTAATGCTGTTCTTAAACTAGCTATGGCCAGATTTCTAGAGGGATTTCTAGCTCAGAGGAATGCTGAAATTAAGTATTGCTAACTATGTTGGGGCATAGACACTAGCCACTGAGTTCACTGCTTAATTTCTCTGCGAATTGTGTACGTGAAGGAACAGAAAAAGCTGTTTCTTCCCCTTTACCCCTCAGTATAGCACTGAAATAAATTTGTGTGAGTTCAGTGTCACGATCAAATCAGTTACTTTGTTACTACTGTTTGAAACTATCTGCTCTATGATGTTGACATGCATGCTTGTAAATATTTTAATACTGGTAGCAAATATTACATACTTCCTCCATGATGTTGTAAATACTAGGTTTCTAGAAATAAAGTTTTACTGAACTTATTTCTAATAGGGAGCTCTTGTGAGTGCCTTGGCTGATGATACCTTACACCTGTGGAACTTACGTCAGAAGAGACCTGCTATAATTCATTCGCTCAAGTTTAACCGAGAACGGTAGGAATTGGACTATTTTTGCTTTGCTCATTACCATCACACTGTGTAAGTGGGAGATTGAATTTATTATAGCAGTACAACTAATAAATAGTTAAAAATTATAACTGGATTTACTTTAGGATTGACTTCCAGGTTGCTAGGGTCCAAATTTAAGAAGAGATTGGACTGTGCACTTAGTCACATGGTCTGAACTTGGGTAGACCTGTGCGGTGTCAAGAGTTGGACTTGATGATCCTTAAGGGTCCCTTCCAACTCAGGATATTCTATGATTCTATGATTCTATGAAATTGCTTATAAGTAGACACACCATATGTCTGCTAACTTGAGATTACTTCTCTATTATTGTGAGCATTGTTTTGCTGAACAACAATATTCCTGTCTTTATCAAGTGGAGGGAAGGAAGACTTTTAGTTTGTCTCCAAAGGAATTTTTGGAACAAAAGTGTTTGTATGTATTAACAAGGCAACAGGAAAACTATCTCCATTTTTGAAGGCTTTCTGAGATAATTTCTATCCTTTTTCTTCAAGTTTTTTTTAGGAAGTAGTTTTTTTCTTGCCAGATTAGGTACAGTCTCAATTGGAATGTTATGTGTACTTTTTGAGCAGTGTGTTTCTGAACTGGACTTCTTAGAGAGCTGGGAGGAGCCTAGCAAGAACACACAATAGTCTGTGACCTGTACCTCTGTTGAATAGGGTGGGAAAGCAGTAGGCTTTAAGTAATAGGTAGCGTGAAAGAGGAAGGTTTAAATATGTGAAACCTTCTGATGTAATGTCATATGAAATGCTACAGTAGATTGTTGGGTGGATTGTGGAGTAACCTTGTAGTTTTAAAGAACAGATCATAAACGGGTTTGTCAGGAATGACACAGAAGCAGATTGTTTTTTCTGGGGTAGAGGATTAAGTGAGTCTCAAGTCCCTTTTCAGGTTGTTTTCGTGATCGCAATGCATAACTATTACGCACAAAATGGAAAGTTCTGCTTACAGAGCAAGATTCTTTGCAGTCTGAAACAAAGCATTGGACAGCAGCGTGTAACTAATGCTTTAAAATGGTTGTCTAAGAAGGTGACTGTGTGTGTGAATCAGTTGGAAGCTGTTTTAGAGTCTTAGATGTACATATAGCTTAGTTTAAACAGTGGAAATCTTAAACTGTCATTTTGCTCTAAATGTGGTATTCTCACAAGCAAAACCTGTCATAGGCAGTTGAGCTTTGTCTGCCATTCACAGAACAGGCTAAGGGAAAAGTCTATATAACTCACATCTCTTTAGTAGCAGTACTAGTTATTAGTTTTGGGCAGACTACTGACTTTCAAAAAAAAAAAAAAAAAAAGCTGTGCCTTGCTGAAATATGTAGCGAGAGCATCCTAATTTTCAATAGTGGTGAAGATAAAGTTTCTGAGACAAGGGTTATTCTTGTAGTAATTTTAATCTTAAAGTATCCATCATTATAACTTACAGAAGTAGCCAGAACACTTAAGGTCCCTGAGCCACCAATGTCACCAGCCATTTATTAAGTCATGCTGGATGACGGTTACGTATGTTTTCAAATAGTTTTCTTTTGGCTAATTCATAAAATGAAGCTTTATTTTATAAAGTGCAATCTCATTACAAGGGAATTATTTTGATTCCGAACTTTAGAAAATTGCAAATTCATTGCTGAATAATTCTATTTAGTTGGTTTTAGTAACTTAGAGCCATTAGTGTTATTACTACTCCTAATAGATTTGGTATGTTATGTGAATTTGAAGTAGTTGACTTTGTTTGGGTCAGTTTTATGTTGTGTATTAGCTACAAAGTTAATTAAGAAGAGTGTTCATGAAAAAAACTGAACACTCAATTAGCAAGTGCAAAGATGTTAGGTACCTAATTAATAAAACGGTTTTAAATAATTTATGATTTGGGGTTAAGATTTTCTCATAAGGATAATTAACTTCTCAACCATTAATTACTAAGATATTAAATATTAAAACTGAGCCTCATAGTAATGTTTTCCAATGATGCTTCACTTTGCCAGCTTGCACTTTGTAGGGATATTCAGTATCTTGGAAATCAGTTTGGGTAAAAGAAAATAAATGAATGGGAAAATGTCCTCGGAGGTGAAATCAAGTCAAATCTTACTAAATGATGGAATCAATTGCTTTGGTTATATCAGTATTTGTCTTAGAACTCCAGATGCAAAGGCTTAAAATTATTTGCCTGATTGGGAGTACCTGGAAGTGTGTTGACATTGCAGAAAAACAGTATTTGTATTCTACTTAAAGAGTTGAACTCAGTATGTCAAGGGACAGGTTTTCTCCAGATTCTGTTTTCAAATAGGATTTTGATATGTAGGGATTTGATGTGATTTATAAAGTTGTTTCTGCATAGAAAGCTAACTGAAACAGTTTATGCTACTCAAATTAAAAGATACATTTTGAAACCTGTTCTTGAATGTTTTGAAAAAGAGGAGGGGGGAGAAAAAAGGTAGGGGTGTGGTGCATTACTGAATTCTTTCTTCTCCTGGTATAGCCTTTTACCAGCTTTGGTTAATTCCCTGGTTTTAGCCGTACACATGAATGTGCTCTTAGCTTAATGATGATATTTCCAGAACTTGTATTTGTCTCACCTGTTGGTGATGTATTTTGACTATCTTTATCTTAGGCCTGTTTTGAGCAGATCAAAACAAAGAAACAAAAATGGACACATCTTGTTTATAAATTCTTATGTTAAATATTTTTGATACAAAGGAAAACAATAACAATAACCTGAAGTATTGAATTACCTGTAAACCAATTAAGAATGCAGCCTCTAGTATGTGACTGGGAAGTGTTCTGGATTCTTGCTTTTCTGCTCATGAATTTTAAGAATGGAGATTAAGAGTTTTACGTGAGTGTTACTCATTACAGATTTCATTGTTATCAGTGAAAAATATCCTCATTGGGTAACTTGCAGCTTTTCAGTTTTGAACAAAATGTTTCTTTAAAAGTAACGGCCAGGAGTCTTTAAAGACTCAGCTTTCTGTCGAACCTGTAAATGAGTCTTACTTACTATCTGTAAGTAAGAATTTGGTCATTTATTCATAGCTGCCTACAGTATCAGTGCTGGTGAGTAATCTGAAACAAGTCTTTTTTGACCTGGTGACTGATGAACTTGTTAATGTATAACAAATTAAAAAAATAATGGCAGATATCAGAAATACAAAACAAGCTAGTTTTGCAAGTTTTCTAGCCTTTTGTTCTTGTCACATTTGTGTGGGTTTTGCAGCTACTCCATGTTCTAGTTACTAAACAAAAGTTAGAAGATACTAAACCACTATAATGCTGAGCTTGGCCACTGCTCCTTGACTGTAGGAAGGAGGAAGAGGGGCAGCATGTAGGGGCCAGAAGAAAATGCGTAATGGTGGGCTGGGTTGCTTGTGTGCAAATTAATGTGTTAATATCTCCTTGTGAAATACACGATTCAGAGTGTGAAATTATTAGTATCCTAGATTTTGTGCATTGCTAAGATTTTTTTTCAGTGAGTGGCAATAGTTTTTGTCATCTATGTACCTGTATAAACTTGCAAATATGCCAGCTTAATGTAGGACATGAAAAATTTGTTTTGTAATCTGACTTGCATCTTTCCTGAGCTGCCTGTGATTCCGTGCCTTAATGCAGAAACAAATGTTCCACTTGCTTTGTGGCTTAGCGTAAAGACAAGAACCAAAATCACAGCATAAAAATAGAACCAAGTGTTTAGTGTACCAGTGCTTTGCATATCGATCATTGAATGCATTGAGAGCAGTTTAATTTTTAATATGTCAGTTTCTGTGCTGTAGGATTTAAATGATCTTACTCGGCATGAAAATGCACGATTTGGAGTTACCAAATTGTTTTAAGTATTGTTGCCTTTGTACTCTGAAAAACAGCCACTTCACGTTTGTATTTAAAACACAAACTCTGCACTGTGTGTGAAAAATCCCACTTGTATTTACTCTTTACTAACAGACAGGATTTTGGACTTCTATTATGACACATACCTCACCTTGTTAGATACTGTAAATTTGTAACCAGGCCACGAATTACCAGGCATTAGTTGAAAGGATTTCTCTCTCCTTCCACCTCACTGAATTTATAAACTGACCAATTCTGCCACTTTGTGGATAGCAGGAAGACATACAGGATTTTTTTTTTGCCTTTGAGAAGAGATGATGATAGACTTTTTTTTCCTCCCTTTTCTGTGTATTAGTATCAGTTGTGCTTCCACCATTTATTTGGGGGGCTGTTTTTTTCCCCCCACCTTGACCTATATGCTTTGAGGTAGGATTATAGTATAACTGGAAAGATACACATCCATACAATACTTCTGAGAAGTTGAATGTTTGGACTCTGAGTTAATAATATACTGAGTATAGATCTGACATATGACACATAGCTAAGTTTTTCACTCTTTTTCTAAAGCTGCCTTATTTTTCAAGATCAAAATGAAATGATCATCTGTTTTTATGATGTTATATAAGACCATTTTTTTCCTGTTGGGCTTAAAAAAGTTACTTAATGGTGATCCACTAGAGGACATACTTGAGTTCCATCTTGCTTCAAGAAGTTAGTAAGGGAAAAGGAGCTCTTCAACTGTCTGGGTTTGCTGGGGGTCTGAACGTCTCATTTGTGCAAGATCAAATTCCTTTGAAAAATGTTTTCTGGAGGCCATGCAGTGCATTCTCTGTCCCATGTGTAGGTGCGGTTGATGGAGCTACAATTGTGTGTTTTCTTCTTCTGCTGCCTTTGGCATTGAGGCAGAACTGAAATACTGAGTCCTATTACTCTGAGACTATAGGTTTCTATGAAACAGTTTTTAAAACCTGTCTCCACTGTCCAATTACCATTTTTCCCTGTACACCAATGATTTTTGCAGTGCTGTGAGCCACATAATGACCAACTGCCACATTCCTAGGTTGAATTCAACCTCTAGTCTTTCTGCCCTGCCTGCCTGGCAGACTTTTCCTCACCAGTGATGAGCATAGCTCTTCTTTCTCCTATGGGAAA